AATATATATGTATATCATAATTATATTGTAGAAATTGTATATATGTATTTATATAATTTAAAATTATATATATTATATAATTTATTTATTTATTGTAAATGTATTATGAAAATTGTGGATTCTTGATTACAATATAATACGTATGCGCTATGCGCTACTATTGCTCTCTCGCTCGCACAGCACATCCCTCGATTGCAGCGACCTCATACTTTTCGGTTTCGCCAAGCGAACCATCCCCATTATACGAGTTGAGAGACCTGTATGTAAGACCGTGACTTCAACTGATTTCATCCGATTTTATATGACTAACCGATTTCAAATGATTTCAAATGATTTAACAAGTGATTTCAACTGATTCCAAGTAACTTCATTATGATTTCAAATGATTTCATTATGATTTTAAGCGATTTTATTATGATTTCTAGTAATATAAATATTATTTTAGGTGATTTAAATTACTTTGACGTATAACTAATTACTTTCTCTACATTTTTCCTTATTCCTAATTTTATTTCTATAATTAACATCTATTGAGATATATTTGAAATGGGGGTTGAGCTATTTAGTGATTAAAATTCAACTATATATTTTTTAAATTTGCTTGTTATATCAAACATTTATATCACTTTTTTAAATATAAATAGAATACTTTAAAATAGGAAAGGGAAAAACATAATAAATGACAATATATACAAGGTATATTTATCGATTATAAATATCTGTTAATATTTTCGTAGACGTTCTCATTAATACTTTTATAAATATCTGTTTTTTGCTTTATCAAGCAATAACTTTTATGAATAAAAAACAAAATTACACTTTATAAGGTACATTTTTAACGCAACTTAAATTTATCATATATAAAACGTTACGAACACAACATGGAAATACGGATGTACTTATAATTAGATACATAATGTTTAAACTTATTGTTAGCTGTTTTTGCATATATACACTAAGTTTCAGTCTCGAATTGCACAACGCAAAGTATTAAAATATATAAGGTATAATTACTGATTAGAAATACTTTTTAATATTGTCGTAAATGTTCTCACTAAGCTTTAACCCTGATAACACAAAAGAAGGACGTGAAATTGTAAGAACATAGTTTTTAATATTAATATACTCTTGAGTATTCATAGGCACAAAAATTAACTGTCTGTCTCTGTCGGTTTTATACCAATGACAAAGGACACCTATATCTTTACTGTTTCCTTCTGTTTTTGCAAAACTCTTTGAATATTCGATAGATTTCCACGTTTTGCCATTTGTATACGCGAAACTAAGAATATGACCAATATAGCACTTTTTATTATTTAATCTTTTAAATAAGCACCAATCACCGATAAATATTTCATCACATTTTTTGTACTCATCATTCCCTTGTGCAAAACGCGATTTTTGTATATATGTAGTTAATTCAGATTCTCTAACACGCTGTAATCTGTCGCTGCTTAATTTGCACGAGTTTTTACTTAGAAGCCAACATATTGATGATTTCCTTACTATTAATTCCTTGCCATAGGAATCGGTTACGATCGTGAAAGGACTGTCAGGCTTAATTTCTGTTGTTATTTTGTTGAAATTAGTTAGTTCTAAACTACCCTGAACGCACGAAAGTGTCGTTAAGTCTTCCAATAAATCAAACTCTTCATTATCTTCAGTCTCATTTACTGAATTTATTTCATTAGAATTGGACGATAAAGATACATTATTATCTTTTTCTGTACAAGATGAATCTACAGTTAAATCATCAGAATCAATAATATGAATGTCATGTATGATTCTATTTTCTGCATCCGATATGGGTACTGTCATACCTAGTAATGATACCGTGATGAAAGCATCTTGTTTTGCTGATTCAATAGTATATTCCATTTCATTCAAAGAGGGAAGTTCAAATGTTGATTTATTGGAACATAAACTTGATTTTTGAGCGCGTGGAAATTTATATCCTTCAGTTGATACGTTAGAATTACTTGTTGATATGTCACTTTGAAGTTGGATACGTCTAACTCTGTGGATAGCCTCTAAAACACTACAATTCACTATACTTGAAAATGTAGAACTTGTTGAACGCAAATGCCTAAAGAAATCTTCACACGGTTGACTGCTGAATTGCCAGGGTAAAAATAGTTCGGGAGAATCAATTTCTTTCAGTAACTTTATAACATCTATCAAACTTTGTGCGTTTATCTCGATACATAAATACGCATTTAAAGTTATAAAATTATTAGTTATGGAATACTGTGAATTTGCGTGTAGCCAAGCTCTCCATAAGCGTAGAAAAAAAACACAATACCATATATTATAAATTCGTTCTAATGGGCTTAATGTTTTACTTAAAAATGCACTCAAACACAAGCGGATAACGTATAAATACGTTACAGTTCCTTCACTTTCCGGAACATGTTTTTTTAATAGCTCGGAGACTTTAGAATCTGATATTTTTAATACTGAAGGAAAGTTTATTTTATCTTTTAGGGATAAATCTTTTCGAGTTAAACAATGTTTGTCCTTTGGAACTGTGTCTATCAAAATATGCAAGTGACTAGCTGAGACTAAATAATTTCCCATTGGCAATACAATGGAATTTTTCAGCATTCTTGTTTTGAGCTTGGTGCCAATATGCACAGTATCCTGTATACAAATAATTTGTGGTAATGACTCAAAAGTGCATTGTAATGCAGGAGGAACTTGATTAGTTTCACAAGAATTTTTTTGTTTAAAAACACCAGTATTTGTTTCAATTCGCATTGCTCGCAATAACCGAGGATCACCATCAGAAGACATACTTAGAACTCTTATACCTGCATCCTTTAAATATTTAACAGTGTAAGACCATCGCTTAATAACATTATCAGCTTTGAATTTATTGTCAGTACTGTATAAACACAAACAAAAAGAAGGTGCCTGATATGCGAGCGGTTGTGCAATTATTACATATAATAAAGTGGCAGGACTATTAGTACTGAAGTATTCTTCTATCTTTTTAGCACAAGTAGCTGTAAATGAGTGTGTTACAGGCATTCCATCATTGTTCAACGGTAAAGGAAAACCAACGAGTTGATTCGATTTAGAGTCATATTGAATACGACCGGTTATTCGGGTTGCATCTTCACTTAACCATACATAAAATGGTAGTTTTCTCATGTGTAAAAACTTTTCTAATTCCGTAACTCGCATATCACCTTCTATTATTATACAACCCGAATTATCTAACGTACGACTTACTGTATGTACTCAAAGAAGGTAAGGGCAAGTTCGCAGATAATGTTTCATACAACATTCGACCACCGATAACAAATAAATAAGTTGCGAAAAGCTTAAGTGTATCATCGTATCGCTGTCCCCCCTTCTTTTTGTTTGTGTTAGAAAGAGCAGTGTTCATTAATTTTTTTAAAAATGAGGTTTGCGTTTCATTCGACTCATATATATCATGGTTTGCAGTAGAATTATCTGAGTGTTTTTGTTTTTCCAGAAAATGTTTAATAGAAATATTTAATTCTTTATTTCGATTAATTTCAACATCTAAACGATTGAGCACAAGAAAGTAACATGAAATTTGTGGTTGAGTTTCATCTACAGAAGAGAACAATTTACGCATGTTTCTTTCTGATCGCGATCGAGAATTATTAGTAGTACGAACATTTTTTAGAGAAATTGTTTTTTCGAGATGATTCGTTCGATAATCATCTCGATCTACCATTCCCCCGATTCTCCCCAAACACTAGGAATTTTATTAAGCTCTTCGTTATACAAACTATCTACATCCTTGCTGACATCATTTAGTGATTTAGACGTTGATGGTAAAGATTCATGGGTTGTTGGATTTTTAACTGTTTTATTAGACGCGGAAAATGATTCAGTCAATCGTTTAGATTCCTCCATGCCTACAGTTTTGACAATAGATTCTGAGTCTTGTTCAGGCTTATCCTCGTTTGTCGTTTTATCTGAAGATTTTGAATGACGTCCAGAATCCAAAATAGAGTCATGCATCGGATTATTGGTTAAATCAATTAAAAATGTATCGGTAATATTTACGGGCCTTGTTACGGACGAAAGCACCAACTCGTTATTAACAATAGTTCCTTCTGCAATCACAGCTAATGTAGGATCATCAGTATGTTGACTTTCGTTAGATATATCGCTGGATATCTTAAAAGATTCCTTAATTGACTTAACATTACTTAAAGCCGCCTTTTTCTGTCCAGCAGATTTTTTATGAGTCTCGATATGACGAGCAAAATTTGAAATTATCCATCTGCTTCCGACTTTTGTAAAGTTAACAAGTATTGAACATAACGGGCATGTTACACAAGCAGAATATGTAAATGCTTTGGAAAGACCATTTTCGTCATAACTATCTTTTACGGATATCTTTACTTTTGTAGAGCACTTTAATTTCTCCCGTATGTCTTCGCTTACGTTCTCATTTGATGTATACTTTTTATTTAAGTTTTTAATAAGCGTCTCTACTTTCTTTCTTTCAGTTTCAAGATTAACATTTGAACTTTGATCGCTTTGAAGTGGTAACACATTTTTTTGTAAATTTGATTTGTCAACTGCGAGTTTCGCTTTCTTTAGAGATGGCTCATCGAGAAAAACTTGAGATGGCTTTGACAATCTCCAGTTATCTGGTGGCATTTTTTTAACTATTTCAACTAATGCCAGTATCAATTGCTTGTCACCTATCATGAATCGAAATTTTTCTGGCCTTTTCTCAAATAAACCAAAGTACGCTTTTAAATCTGCATTCGGTTCAATAAAATCTTGCATTTCATTTTTTGCAAAATTTTCTAGTTCACTTATCATTGATTCAGTGATTTTTTTGAAAGATATTGGATTATCTAAATTGTTAAAATGCATAACGTTTTTGATGTAGTTAGGAATAAAAACTCCATGTGTTGTTTCCAGAATATCCCAAAAGTTTTCAACAAAATTATCCTGACGAGCCATTTTGCAATCAATTTTCTTAAACTGAAGTAACCAAGTAAAATCTCGATTTATGTAATGTTATGATTTTACAAGTGACCATGTATATTAGTTGAAATATCTGGTTCAGTACGCCGTGGTTTACGTCAACATCATCGCTCCTAGACAGTAGGTATGCTTCGAGTTCTTTCTTGGCAGCCTTACAATGTTCCAATGATCTGGATTATTAAGCCGTGGTTTAAGCTGAAATTATACAAAGAAAATTCAAGAGAAAATCAGTCTCTTATCGCGCATTACTATTGGCGCCCCGTTACTCTCACCCGGTTACTATCGCGCTCCACTCGCCCCGATGGGCCACCTTCTCCGCCACGTTGGCAATCGCCCGCTCGCAAATACTCGCGCTTACGGTAATACGGCTCAAGGAGCTCGTCTACTTACATTTAACCTCTCCGTTTCGCGCCTTTCGTTTCGTCGTACAAGCTCTCACCAATAATCGAGCTTCCGTCACTCTCTCTCTCTCTCTCTCTCTCTCTCTCTCTCTCTCTCGTAATGCACGCCTAGCACAGCTTCACGGCAGCCTCTCTCCCTCGCAAACACCCCTCGCACAGCTTCTGGCAGCCTCTCTCCTTCGCAAATACGCCTTGCACAGCCTGACGCAGTCCTCGCCGCGCACCCCTCGCGCAGCCTCCCGTAGCTTACTTCGTCCTTCGTCCAGTGCTCCTGGCACAGCTTCACGCATCCACCCTTCCTCGTAACGTACGCCTTGCACCGTTTCTCACAACCTCCTCTCGATCTTCGTACGTACGCTTGCACACCTTCTTCTTTATCTTCGTCACGAACTCTTCGCGCTTTCGATCTCTCCTCACACGTCACTTCTTTTCTTGTTTTTCCTTCAACTCGCGCTTCCGCGCCACCTCTCCTCGATTGGTCAGGGTTTAGCGTGACTGGTCTCTAGTTCCCGCTAGAGCTAGCGTCGGTAATTGCGGCCGCTTGTTTATCAGTTCCGATACAGACCAACTAATTTCCAGTGATTTCTCAAATGACTTTAACTGATTTCAAGTAATTTCTCAAGTGACTTCAACTGATTTCAAGTGATTTCAACTGATTTCAACTGATTTCCTCCGATTCATCCGATTTCATTCGATTTCATGTGATTTCATATGACCAACTGATTTCAAATGATTTCACAAGTGATTTCAACTGATTCCAAGCGATTTCCGAGTCAATTTCAACGATTTCAAATAAGGTGTACCAGTGATTCGCTAAGTGAATAACTCCTTGGTCCATATTATTTTCCTTGCGGTCGAAGAATAATGAACTGTGATTGGCCAATTCTTACGACTTACGACTTACAACACCCATTGTAGACCGGCCCTAATCTTTGTGCTCTGGCCTTAAATCTATATCATATTACGCATTGAAGACTGAAATTGCTTAAAGTTTGACTAATCGGGACAAAGAAATGTACACTTCAAAGCATATGTAGCACCAAATGGATTGCAGTTCTATTATTTTAAGCACGGTTAAGCAGGTAAAGCAGCTAGCGTTCGCCCAACGATTGGGTGCGTTCAGCAAATCAAGTTGCTTAGTATCAATCAAACGTGATTGGCTATTACTTTTAGAAACAATTAATCAACGCAGAATGTACAAAAGAAGATAATTCAGTAATTGTTCTTCTGAACGCCGCCATTGGTTGCAACGCTGTGTTGCCTCCTGAACGAGGAGGCACAATCGTTGAGTGCTCAATGATTCTTTAATATGATTGGTTCTTGCCTTCTTCTCCTGATCTAAGTGTAAAACCAATTATAATAAAGAATCACTGA